TTAATAGGGAGCTAATAATTCTGACTTCAACTGTATATGAATACAGATAATAATAAGAATTAAACTCAAACAGCATTTTAGCTTAGCTATAATGATTTATAATATGAATAATATAAAGAGAGGGTTCTCCCTGTTCTAATGAGGGGTGTGTACACAGAGGTAAAAGTTCCAAGGGCAACTTTATTTAACAGATGGTCACACAGCCAAGCTCAAAACCAGGAACAAAACAGTAGAAAAAGGGGTAATTCACAAACAAAATCCAAAGAACAGGCAAAGGTCAGGGCAGACATCAAACACTCAAAATATCCAATAAAACACAGTCCAAAAATCCAAAACCATGAAACGCAACAACAGGAACAAGGAAATGCTAGGAATAGTACACTTACAGTGAAACAAGACATTTCAAAGATGTGTTTGAAAGTAAAGTGTATATATAGTCCTGGTAATCAGTCTTCATGGGCTTAAGCTGTGTGTTTGTAATCAGTGGTGATCTGGAAATGGTGTGTGTGAACTGCTTGATGGAATATGTAGTCCAGTTCAGTGGCAGATGTGATGAGTAGAGTGCCCTCTAGTGTGTCTGGTGGGCACTCAACTTGGTTACTGTGACAATCATGTTGGCGTGGATTTCCTCCGGGTGCTCCGGTTTCACCCACAGTCCAAAGACAAGTGCTATATGTGAACTGGATAAACTAAACTGGCCATAGTGTATGAGTGGGTGTGGGTGTTTCCCAGTACCGGGTTGCGGCTGGAAGGGCATCCGCTGTGTGAAACATATGCTTGTTGGCGGTTCATTCCACTGTGGCGACCCCTGAAAAAAGGGACTAAAAATAATAATTTTTATATAATATATTTAATTTATAATTTATAAAATTAATTTATAATATATAATGCCATTATATATAATATTTAATATTAAATTGGGGGGAATCTCCTTATCCACCACCAGTGCAGAATCCACCTGGATGACGCGACGGCAGCCATATTGCACCAGACCGCACACCACACACCAGCTGATTGATGGAGAGGAGACAGAGTGATGAAGCCAATTATGATATGGGGATGGTTAGGAGGCCATGATGGACAGAGGCCAGAGGGCAAATTTAGCCAGGATGCCGGGGTTAAACCCCTACTCTTTTTTTAAATGACATCCTGAGATTGTTAACAACCAAAGAGAGTCAGTAATCTTAGTTTAACATCTCATCCGAAAGCTGGTGCTCACTGAGCAGTGTAGAGTGCCCGTCACTATATTGGGGCATTAGGACCCACACAAACCGCATGTTCAGCGCCCCCTGCTGGTCTTACTAACACCACTTCTGACAGCAACCTAGCTTTCACATGCGGTCTCCCATCCAGGTACTGACCAGGGGCCTCATGTACGAAGACTTGCGTGGAAATCTTACTAAAACATTGCGTACGCACAAAGCTGTAAATGTGCGTACGCAGAAAAAAATTCAGATGTATGAAACACTGCGTACGCCGAATCTCACGCATATTCTTTTGTACATCTGAATGAACGTGAAACTGAGCGCAACATGCACGAGCACAAAACCCCTCCCTGCCTCCTCCCCCGTATGAATATGCTAATGACTATGCTAATGTCAAAACCCAACGAAAAAGCAATGGCAAAAGCAAGCTAAAAGAGAAACTTTGAACAGAATATGAATTGGAGGTGCTGCTTTCGGAGGTAGACCGGAGAAAAGCGGTGTTATTTGCAAGTTTGTTCGGCGGAATTAACAACAAAAGAAAAAAAATAGAGTGGGAGAGTTTAGCTGATACGGTTAACACAGTTGGGTCTGAACATCGCACTGAGTGCATTTAAAAAAGAAATAGTGTGGTTTATATCTGTAAAATGGTGCAATACCCTTCGCAGTCTCAGTGGCGCACCTCATGAGAAGCATATGATCAAGTACTGACACGTTCGAGCATAAACTCGGCTCGAATCCAGCGTCCGATGAATTCTTTCTTCTTTTTTTTCCCGCTACATATCAGATTTTGCCCACTATTTATCACGAGAAAGACAAGTAGGATCATTAATAAGTTTGTGCATCATATTTTATTTGCACATTTATTGAATGGAAATGTTTCTGATTCACGCATGCAAATTTATCTTCACATAGTGTCTTATAGCAATGTGCGTGCAGTAGATAGCTCAGATTACATTGGGAAAACAGGCGACCGCTGCAAATTGTGCTTTAATGTTTAGCTGGTCAACTGTATGGTATGGAAATCTTACATACCTACTATATGAACCCGTCACATACAGACGTCATTGCAAGGATCAGACACTTTGTAGAGAAGAATTTAACACAACTGCCTCTAGGAGTCGCCAATGGAAATAAAACAGACACGCACAAAAAATGTGCGTACGCCTGCCAGAAAGCTGCCGTGAACCTGCGCAAATTCCCACGTTCAGTTCATTGTTAGTAAATCCAAACGTGAGCGATTCTGAGCGTGAAACCTGGCGTACGCAAAGTTTTTGTGCGTACGCAGCGTTGATACATGAGGCCCCAGGTGCAGCCCTGCTTAGCTTCAGTGGGCGACCATGTGAGAGTTGCAGAGAGCCAGCTGCCGCAATAACCCGAATGAAACTGAATGAATGAATAAAATAAAAGTTCTATTATTTATAATGTTAAATATTTACATTGATTTAATACTAATATTCATAAGATTATTTTTTATTTGATCAGTTAATCTAATATTTATAACTTAAATTAGAGTTATAAATATATTTATACTTTGGTTAAAATAATTTCAAATAAACTTTTGTTTTTATCATTTAAGGATGTTTCCAGAACTCCTATTGATGAGAAGAACGAGCGAATCCTCACTATTATCACATACATGGGCTGCGGTGTGTCTTCATGCTTTCTTGGGATCACAGTGTTAACCTACACCCTCTTAGAGTAAGAAGACTTCATAATCAGTGTTATTGAACAGAAGTATAGCATACATGCATTATCATGACCATGGTTTTATAATCATTTCAATAAAATGCACATTTTATTAGTCTTTGCCATTAACATTGATGCACTGTATGCTACCACAGGAAGTTAAGGAGAGATTACCCATCCAAAATTCTGTTAAACTTGTCCCTTGCTTTACTGGGACTGAACCTGGTGTTCCTGCTGAACTCCTGGATATCTTCTTTTGGCAACTACGGCCTTTGCATTGCTGTAGCGGCCACTTTACACTATTTCTTACTCACTTCCTTCACCTGGATGGGCTTGGGAGCTGTGAATATGTACTTTGCTCTGGTCAAAGTGTTCAATGTGTATGTGCCATCATACATTTTGAAGTTCTGCCTGCTTGGCTGGGGTGAGACATTTTTTAATTTAATGTAAACGTTACTCTTAAATCACTCATTTTCCACTATTTAACATCAATTATGTCTTTGGACAGGGATTCCACTTATAATTTGTGGCTTGGTACTGGCTATAAAGAGAGATGCGTATGGCCTGAGTGATTCCCAATCCACCCTGGATGATTCTGAAATGTTGTTAGTGAAACATTTTATCATTGAAATCATAACAAAAATGCATTGCAAACTTTTCTTTAAGTGAAACATGTTCATGATTTTCTTATTCAGCTGCTGGGTGAAAAACGATGTGGTTTTCTACGTGTCGGTAGTGAGCTACATAGCCTTCATACTGCTGTGCAATGGCTCCATCTTCTTAGTGGTTCTGATTCAGATCAGAAATATGCAAGTCAATCAGCCAGCTGGAACCAGAAGTGGGATCTTGAAGGACCTGCGGGCTGTGGCGAGCCTTACCTTTTTGTTGGGTCTCACCTGGTCTGTGGCTTTTCTCGCTTGGGGTCCTGTCAAAGTGTTCCTTCTCTACTTGTTCTCCATAATGAACAGCCTACAAGGTGAGAAACAACACATTAGATTATTTCCGAACTGGTTTTACAATCCAATCCTTTGACACTATGCTATGGTTTGCTCCAGGATTCTTCATTTTTGTGTTCCACTGTCTCGTGAAGGAAAATGTACGCAAGCAATGGAGAATACATTTATGTTGTGGTGCTTTCAAGCTGCAGGAGTACTCTGGTAAGGCTTAAAATTCTTCCTCGCAATCTTGAGGATCTGGTAAAATGCGAGCGCTGACCCCATGAATACTTTCAGAATGGAGCCAAACTGCAACTGTGGTTCCCAAACACAAACCCAATCCCCCGAACACATTTTCCTTCATGGCATCTGTAAGGTCCATCAAGTCTAACTCAACCCAAAGCTCAACGGTTTCTTCTGAATCCAGCCAACGTCAAGTGACTATCACAAGACCAGACCTGGGTAAGACTTTACAATTAGGCTACAAGACATTACCACTATTGCTTTTGTGTTCTAATCCTTTACCTATTCTTTTCTTAACTTTTCCTGTGCAAGGATTTGTGTATGAAAACAGTTTGGCAATACCAAGAGCCAGAGCAGGACTATCCCATGAGGTGTCTCCTACCACAGCAAGTGGGTTTGAGTTTCCTTCAAGGTCATGGAAGAATGGATTCGACAATTAATTAATGAATGTAAAATTATTTGTTTAACTCTATGGTGAAACATTTATATTTTCTGGTAACTTACTGTTAAAAATGACACTTAGCTGTTCAGAAAAATAATCTTTTAGATTATAATACAATATAGTTTAATGGAACAATGGATTAGACACAAGAATGTATCTCAGATTCATGTAATATTAGTTAAAATGATGCATGGCCGTTCAGAAAACGATCTTTAAGATTATATTAGATATTCCTAAGGTTTTGTTTTTCATCAAATAGCATGTCTGTCAAAACGTGTCTGATGAATGAGCGTATGATGAGCTGTATATGCACCTAGTTTTATGTCATTCCAAAAAATTATTTGTAAAATGTGTAATATGTTTGTAAAAAAAAATATATAAATAAATCTAGTGTAAAACGTGGGTCTGAATGAAATGAGTTTGTTATAGTTCCGAGAGCGGAACCTTGGGGCGGAACTACACATGTAACCGCGAGAGTTGCATTCCGGAAGACGCAAAGCGGTGGACTTGCGTGTTGCCCTCGGAAGTGCAACATTTATACGTTTTGGAGGTTCGCTGGGCAAGGTAGGTTGTGTTTTTATGCTGTCATTTTATTAATTATTGTAAATCATATGCTACATTAAGTCGAAACCATAAGGTAGTTGAACGATGAAGACGATAAACGAACGCGATCACTGATCAGTATAAGCGGATTGATGTCAGTTTACATCAGTCTTATTAACTGGACAGTAAGAGGCGTGCTGTAGCTAAAAAAACCCTATACATTCACAACACGCGTCTGCTACATTATATATATTACGTATAATCTTATGTATTTGTAGTAGGTCTGCCCCGAATATAGAAGTCATGCTGAACTACCTCAAGTCATTTATTCCAGCGTGTAGCATCCGCTTCCATTCGTATGTATTAAAAAACAGATTTTTTAGTTCATGTTTAGCTTGTCTACGTTGGCTGACAGATCATTTTAGCGAAGATTTAAAAAGACATATGGTCAGAGATGTATATATATTGTACACTGCAACGTTACTCATATAATTATCGTATAACTGGGCAAAATATTGTGTTTACCTCTTTTTGTAATCTCTGTGTGTGTGTGCGCGCTCAGTTAAGCTTTTTTCATGAAAGTTTTGCTACTGTGGAGTGCAATCGGTGTCAAAAGTCTTTTAATGAAACTCAATGAACTATTTGGAAGGCAATTGGGGCCAAAAGTCATGAAAAGAAATGCGTGCAATTCAAATATTATGATGGTCATAGTTTGACCATGTGAAAATGCCAATAAACACAAGAGCTGATGAAATGGCTGAATTAAAGACAGTATTTGGAAATCATCAGGCATCATACGCCACATATGTAAATATAGTCTGAAATGCTATGGCCTCAACCAGGTACCACTGCAGCCCGGAGACCTCCATGTGGCAGGGACTTATGTCGCAGGTGGGCTGGGTTGCTGTAGGTGTAGTAGATATTAATACAGCACAACTGGGGGTTACTGAGGTTGGGGTAGGTGTAAGCAATCATAAAGCTCAATATGTTGGACTCTGTCATATATATATATATATATATATAAACATTAATAAAATGAAAACTTCTGGTTTGTACAGCCCACTTGGAGCTGGCTCCGACCTCTGTTAATTGATACCCTTCATAATGGCCTAGACTTAGTGCGTTGACATATGGCACTCAGGTGCTCACAAAAAACAAGGTCCTTTGCCGATTTATTCCCTCTCTCTGCTCCCATGCTTTCCTGTCCATAGTCTCTACTGTCCTATTGATTAAAGGCAGACCCGGATTAAGAATTCAGAAGCCTCTGTGCACAATGTCACGTATGCCCCCTACCTGACCACTACTTTATAGTTGAAAAAAAAATAAGATTAATGAAATATTCTTTAAAAAAATTAATATATAATGTATTGCCTGCATTTTTTGAAATAAATGATTTACAGTACATATATTTCTAGATTTAACTTATTTTTAAAGCATTTAAGGCATACTTTGAAAACAAGAAATACTAATACAACCAGTGAAAATTAATGGATTTTAATATACTTGTTCAAGTTCACTGAAGCACTGCTAAAAATTTATATTTAAGGGTAATTTTAATATTTAACTTCTACAAACTTATAATGCATATGGTTTGCATATAACACCAATCCAGTTAAATGAATCTGAGTTCTCCATAATGCACTCGCTTATTAATGATTCCTACTTGTCTTTCTTGTGATGAAGACTAGGCAAAATCTGATATGTCGTGGGGGCAAAAAGAAGAACATGTTTATCAGACGCTGGATTTAAACCCGGTTCATGAAAACATGTTGCCATGCGCTCTACGAGCTACGCCACTCACACTGCTGTCTGTTGGGCTTTTTAGTTATGTTGTCTCTGTCAATCAAATGGTGATGGGTGTGAATCACTCAACTAGCTTATTAACGAGGTGTGCTATTTGCACTTAGCTTAAATAGACACTCCAAAATCAGCATTTTTCCCCCCTCGCAGGGGCCCCAAGAGCGCACGGGCCCCTGGGCCTGTGCCCATAATGCCCATTGGTTAATTCTGCCCTGATTAAAGGTGAAAACCCCACAAAAAAATGCAGTCATTTCAATTTTGTTGTGTTTTGACAGGATCAAACTGCGTACTCGCTACATCTAAATTCAGGCGTTTATTTTATGTATTCTTATTTTCGCTGTTTGTGAAGCTCATAATTAATCTTGGTTTGTATAGATGAGCGGGGACTCAGACGGTAATAAAGAGTTCCACGAGCAGCTCCGGTTGCAGCAGCTGTATGAACAGAGGCAAGAGAATTCAGACGATCCCTACACATACACCGACCCAGAAGACGGCACTGTGTATGACTGGGACCATGAAAAGAGAGCCTGGTTTCCAAAGGTCTCCTGTTCTCAAACAAACTTGTACATTCACAAATGAGCTGTTTTCAAAGTTGAGGTCTGTATTGAAGTTTATGCTATTTGTTTCTGTGCAGATAAATGATGATTTCATCGCAGCATATCAAGCAAACTATGGATTTAATGAGGAAGGAGCTCCTGATCCGTCTGCTGCAGTTAATTCAGCTGAATCCCTCCCTGCCAAATCAGAGGAGCCGAAGAAACCAGAGGAACCCACGAAACCGGCGGAAGCGCCAGAGCAGGGGAAAAATAAAGAGGGAGAGAAGAAAGGAGAGAAAAGAAAAGCAGATCCAAGTTAGATGCTATTCATCCTTACATTTATGTTTATTATATATATTTACTGTATTATTCATGTATGTAATTGTTTTTTATTTAATTTTATTAATACATTCTGTCTTTTTATTTACAGCTTGGTTTGAAGTTGAAAAGGAAAAAAACACAAATGTTTATGTGACCGGTAAATAATTTATCATTTATTAAATTCAATAAGATTGTTACTATTAAGACACTGACGTCTAGTTATTATGTTGTAATAACTGGTCCCTCTAGTGACTCCCTCTAGTGGTCACACAAATCAGTTGCTTAGTTTAAAGAGAAGTTTGTCTTCTCTGCATGACTTGTTTCACTGAGTGCAGTTACTAAAATGAAGCAATAGCCCTTACACTCAACATGCACTTTACTTTTTTTAGAAAGATAAACCAATAAATGGCATTTGATTATAGTCTGAACCGTCTTGAGAGAATTTTGTTTTACATTACGAAAATCTTCAATGATTACCCTGACAATACAATCTAAAATTCAGTATAACACATTTAAAGAAATGTATTTTCACACATGTTTTTGCTAGGCCTTCCTCCAGACATCACTCCTGATGAGTTTGTGGAGGTGATGTCCAAATGTGGAATTGTCATGCGTGATCCCATCACAGAGGAATATAAAATCAAAATATACAAGGACAAAGACGGGAACCAAAAAGGAGATGGACTGTGCTGCTACTTAAAGGTTTGTCATTGTTTTTGTTTAGTTTTTTTTGGTGTAATACTACATTTTATTTTTATTTAAAGTAATTAAAATGTATCTGAGTAATATTTCTTCATATAATTTGTATCTGTAGACATATTTATTTAATATTTTTGTTATTTGTTCTACAGAAAGAGTCTGTCGCTCTAGCTAAGCAGCTCTTGGATGAGACAGAGATTCGGGGCTACCGGCTGCATGTGGAGGAAGCACGATTTGAACTTAAAGGGCAATTTGATGCCAGCAAGAAGAAGAAAAAGAACAAAGAGTACCGCAAAAAACTACAGCAGCAACAAAAGTAAGAACATGTTCAGACTTGTTAAGTCAAATCTTACACACGGTGTAACAATGCTCTCCTTCATCACCATATTACTAGTGTTGCTTGAGGGGGGATGGGGTAAATTAAATTAGCTATTTAAAAAAAAAAAAATATATATATATATATATATATATATATATATATAATCAATATATATATATATATGTATATATATATATATATATATATATATATATATATATAGATATATATATAGATAGATATCTTTATTTTTATTTTTTACTGAAATTAATGCTGCTGTGTGTGTTTTTGTCCTGGTACCTTGGCTTGTTGAGACCTGCTTTGGACAATAAATATCACATTAAATCCTTCAGTAGGTGGCAGCATAAATAGTTTATCCAAAAATAAAAATGTACTTTAATGAGTTTCTTTGTTGTTATTGTTGTTGAACACAAAATATGAAAAATGTTAGAAACCTGTAACCATTAAAGGGCACCTCCTGTAAAGTTTCAGCTCAAAATACCCATCAGATAATTTATTATAGCCTCAAGAATATGCCCGTTTTGGTGTCTGAATACATTGTGGCTGTTTTTGTAGCCTGTGGCTTTAAATGCAAATGAGCTGCTTCTCCCCACCCACTGCTCCGACGCATGTGTCTGCTTCTCCTGCATTACATCAGATAAACATCAGACAGTAGCTATGTTTTCATCAAAAAAATGTAAAAAACATTATGCGCAAAACTGGATTATCACATAAAAGATGTGCAAATAAAGTAGTCTTTTCATCCAACAAGTCAAAGCGAACAAAATAGTCTTGATTAACTGGCGCCAAATATTAAAAGTAAAAACAGAATTTACTGCGGTCGAAGAAGCTGCGTGTATTTTTTCTTTATTTAATAAATGGCTTAGTAGACAATCCTGACACACAGTGTATGCGCGGTGGCGTTTGAAGGCATGAGACGCGGAGGTCATTAATAAACTAATAACACTAATACTGAAATCGTTAGGGCTTTTTAGAATGACCAAAACAACATTTTAAAGGTTTTACAATGTGCTCAGCCTGCTGGTTTATCCATTAACACACATTTTTATCATCACATGATCTCTTTTAACAAAATCACATGACCTACTTTAATGCACATACTGGAGCTTGTTAAACGTGTTTCCATCATAGTTTATGCGCAACTTTTCTTATCAAATAAAATCTTTTTTCTGCTCAGTTATGCGCATGTGTTTTTTATGATCATTTTTAAAATGTATGCGCATCTTGGCATTTCCATCAACCCTTTTTTTATGCGCATATCCAAAATATCCAGATAAAAATAGCTGGATGGAAACGTAGCTAGTGACAGACAGATTTGAATGAAGCAGAAATACAGCTGATTAGTCAAAAATACGGTATTTTTGATACAAAAAAATGTATTTATGGTGGAGTTTATGCAAACCTTTCTGATATGATGAGTCTTTCAAAAATGGCGTTTGCAGTACACACACACACACACATAATGCGGCCATGGTGATTATAGTGGTTAAGAATTAAATAGCGATTTTGCTTTGTTTATTACAAACATGATTTGTTTTAAATGTTTTAAAGTTCTAAAACTTATAAAAAACACAGAGAGTTGCATGTAAATTAAAATACTAAAGTTAAATATTAAAAGGTTTAATCCCAGTTTATGTGCAAAAAATGTTCTGTAGCCATGTGTATACAAGTCATTATAGACACATGGCATCTGTCAATAAATTCGGTGGGCTGGGAACACTTCCTACGTCACGTTGCGGTGTACCTCAAAATCACTGGGATTTGGGCCCAATTTTAACGTCTGCAAATTGTAAAAAAAAAAGAGAGAGAGAGAGAGAGAGACTTGTTAGGTTTATATCACTTCAATACGACAGTGGACACACTTTACATACAAAAAGTTCTGTCCAAACAGCTTACAAAAGTTGATTTTCATCATAGGTGCCCGTTAACTTTCATATTAGGAATAACGGATATTATGGAAGTCAATGGTTACCGGTTTCCAACATTTATCTGATAAAATTTTTTTTGTTCAACAGAAAAAAACACAAAGTTTGGAACAAGTCAAAAGTGAATAAATGATGACAATTTTTAGGTTTGGGTGAACTTTAATGAATGATTCATTAAATAATTCATTCAAATGATTCATTCAAAACAGCTGATTCATTTTAAAGTTAAGCAGCTGACTGCTTCTTTTAGTGAACAGATCATTAAATCATTGACTCAGATGATTTGTTGGAAAACAGATTCATTCAGAGATACTGCAGTGTTGCTCAGAGATGCACAAATGCTCTGTTGTTTAGCTAGCAAAACAAAAGTCAGAGACACACTGTTGGGTCTGAAATGTGACTCGCTCCATATATTTTTTTTTTATGTTTGTTGAAATGTTGTATAAAGTTCATAATAAATGTACTTTTCTACATTTTATTTCATCTTTTTATCAACTGTCTTTTATCAACAAAAAGTGAGTGACAACAATAACAAACTCGTACATCATTAAAACAACTATTACAACATATGATCAAAGACAACAAATAATGGCCACCCTGAAGATCGCCGTAGACTGACAGTTTTGCTATTTATTTTGATCAGGCAGCTGGATTGGAGGCCTGAGAAGAGCGGAGAAGTGCGCAAAAGACACGAAAAAGTTATCATCATCCAAAACATGTTTCATCCCACTGACTTTGAGGTAAGAATTTACCTCGAAACACACCCATAAGAACATGCTGCAGGTGTTATTCAATAGAAGAATGTCTTGTTGGCAACACTTCACATCGAGTGCCAGATGAATGATAGAAATGCCTGAAAAGAGATTCACCGCAGATGAAACCAGAATTTAGCTTTTACAGCTCAGATGAAGCTCAGCCCTGTGCTGGTATTTCTGAAGTGCTAGTTAATTGGAATAATGCTTTTGATTAGCACTAGTTTAGCATCGCTGTGGAATTGTTTGTTTTCTCTTCACCGGTGTCAAGAGCTCACGGCGGGTTTTTCTGCATTCCTTAAGTAGGTGCAACTGTAGGGTCAGATCAGAGCAGGAATGCAGGTGTGGATCTGCAGTTGAAGTATCATAAGGTTTTTTTACGATGTTAATTGCGTTTAATGAATGAGATAGATGCTTTATTAGAAACTATGTTTGTGAGTTCTTTATAAAAAATATTGCGTTTAAATATCAGTGATATGACTGGTTTAGCCCTGAGGTGAACTACATAAACTGCTTAATGTTTTATTTTTACACTGTTAATTAATGTAGAAAGAATTCACATGCATTGTGAACTGCTTTTCCTTCACTGATCAAAATTCAGACATTTCATGATTGATTGAATTTTATTTTTAGTTTAATATTTTCATTTGTTTTATTTATATTTTATTTGTATTTAAATATTTTTTATTTATTTATACATATTTATTTTGATATGATTTTTAAATGCATGTCTATAGTGAGTGATTAATAGAATGATTGATTTTTATTGATTTTAATTTAGTATTTTTATTTATTGGTTTATATTTCATTTATTTATATTTAAATCATTTGTTTTAATTTAATAGTTTTATTCATAAATTTTATTTAATTATTTATTTTGATGTAATATTCTAATATATTTTTATATTTAATGATTATTAGACAGATTGAGGTTTTTTAATTTTTAATTGTTTGTTTTTATTTATTAGTTTATTTATATTTAATTGTATTTAAATAATGATTTATAATTTAATAGTTTTTTTATTTATACATGTTTGTTTATTTTTATATAATGTATATTCTAATATATTTCCATTTTGAATAATTTGCTTAATTTGTTATTTAGTATTTTTGTTTATTGTTTTATTTTTATTTCATTCATTTTTTTGTACTTAATTAATTATTAATAACTGTATTTATTTTGTACATGCTTATTTTTGTATATGTCTATATTGAATAATTGTGTTTTTAAAAAGATTTTTAATTTAGTGTTTTTATTGTTTCATATTTAATTTATTTAATAGTATTTAAAAATAAAAGTTAAAATTTTTATTTAATGGTTTTAAGTCACCTTTCCACTGCACACAACATTCAGACACGACTGTCGGAATATACATTTTCAATTTTGTCATGTACCATGAGAGAGAAGCTGATTATCGCAGTGTCCGAAATAAAGGAGTGCAAAAGCAACAGCCTTTATTCTCAGTGCGTTCACCATGGTTGAGTGAATGAATGAATACTAGAAACTCGTTGACCTCTAAAAATTTTGGAGGGAATGTGGAGACAACATAAAAAATATATTTTTATTACTTATGAATAGAAAAGTTTTTTTAATATAGACTTTTATTTCTGATTAAAAAATAACAAAAAAAACTACTATTTCTCATTTTGTGCGCATGGACCTGCTTGGACAACACTGGAATACATCACATTCGGTCGTCTGGTTGCATACGGTCTAGTCAAAGGATTTCAAATATTTCAACGTATCTGCAGCTCAAACCAGGTCCGAATTATTTGCATACGGAGTTGATTAAAACTCCACGCACCTCCTGGACTACTCTCCATTGGAAATTAACGACTTCCGGTCTGTCGCTTGTTGTTTGTAGTGTTCAGTGGAAAGGCGGCTTTATTTATTTATACATGTTTATAAAAAATATTCCAATGTATGTCTATTTCCAGAATTCATTAAAATGTAATAATTTTTATTATGATTTTTAAAATTGCATTTAAAGTTTAATTACATTTATTCATTGAGTAATTTGGTTTATTTACTTTTTATTTAGTTTGTTTTCAAAGTTTAACAAAGCAAATTTATGCATTAAAAACACTTAACGAATGCAAACTTTTGACTCGTAATGTATTTAAAAGCTGCCCGTGTAATCTCCTGCAGGAGGATCCTCTGGTCCTCAACGAGTATAGAGATGATCTGCGGACAGAATGTGAGAAATTCGGGCAAGTGAAGAAAGTGATCATTTTTGATGTAAGTCCTCTTTTACTCCTGCAACATATTGACCTTATTCTTCACGAACGAGCGGGCACAGCCATTGGAATTTTTGGCTCAAGACTTCCGGTCTCATTCACTTCCATTGATTATTATATGTTAAAAACATTTGTTGTGCTGCTTCATGTTGCAAACAGATTTTTTCTTTTTATATTATTCTACTTTTTATATATAGTTATGAACACACTTGCTAGTATAGCAAGTAGTCTGACTGTTTTCTGCTGTGTTATTATTCCTAGTCATTTCTTCCATAGGCAGCTTAATCAGAACTACTAAAACAATCGCAAAAACAAGTGCATTTTCACATTGAAGAATAAGGTCAACACTGCTCATTTAAATGTGTCTTATTTACTCTGCTGTGTGCTTTCTGCATGGACATCAGAGGCACCCTGATGGAGTGGCGTCAGTGGCATTTAAGGAGCCTGAAGAGGCAGACGCGTGTCAGGTGGCTTTGAACGGACGCTGGTTTGGAGGAAGGAAACTCTCAGCTCTGCTGTGGGACGGCGTGACCGACTACCAGGTGAAACACTTGACCTCTTTAAAGACATCTCTAATTGATTATTTTACTTTCTCAATCTGATTTAGAAAAGGTATTTGGTCAGGAATCCGCTGAATCATGAGAACATGGGTGTTTCTTCAGAATGAATGCGGATTTGCTAAAATTGTCCCTGCCAAGTTATGTGGTTGTGGTTTAACATTGTCTAATAGTCAGGAGGGATTAAATGATGTCATCACAAAAGGAATGTTATTGCAGTTTTAAGAAAACGAAAATTTTTTTTACTTATCCACAATTAGACCTCAGTGTTTTGGAATTTAGAGGGATAGTTCACCCAAAAAACATAATTTCCTCACCGTTTGCGCATATTCAAGTAGTTATTAACTAATTTATTTTCTGTGTTGAAGACAGAAGATATTCTGAAGAATGTTGGGGAAAAAAACAGGTTGTCCACAGGGTCTTAAAATGTCTTAATTTCTTTTTATTAAAGTTTTTATAAACCTAGTATACACATAACATTTACTTAGAATGTTTAAATAAAAAAAATAACAAATAGACTCAAAATAACAATAGATAGAAAATATATTCATTCCATCATTTTCTTTTCGACTTAGTCCTTTTTTTTAATCCGGGGTTGCCACTGCGGAATCAACCACCAACTTATCCAGCATGTTTCTATGCAGCAGATGCCCTTCCAGCCGCAACCCATCCCTGGGAAACATCCACACACACTCATTCACACTCATACACTACGGACAATTTAGCTTACCCAATTCACCTGTACCACATGTCTTTGGACTGTGGGGGAAACCGGAGCACCCTGAGGAAACCCACGCGAACACAGGGAGAACATGCAAACTCCACACAGAAAATGACCCAGCCAAGGCTTGAACCAGCGACCTTCTTGCTGCAAGGCGACAGCACTACCTACTGCGCCACTGCGTCGCCTGATAGAAATTATAATGATAAATAAATCTGTCAAAGTAGTCTGGCGGGTCTACATCTAGTTCACTGTAATTGTCTTCCTAGCTGTTATTAGTAATAAATGTAGTGCAAATAGGTGTGACTTACCGAACTGATCAAGGGTAAAGCTGTTAAACAAACAAAAATACTTCATTGGTATGTCAAATCCTAAAACTTTACTAATCTCCCTTTTAACCTCCAGCCAATACACTAGTATTTTGGGACATTCCCAAAATATGTTCATAGTCCCCCGCTTCTTTACAATGTCTTACGTTTCTAAAACAGCAATTTAGGACTTAAAAATTCTTAAATTCACTGAATTATGATGTTGGTCTTAAATCGTTTTAAACAGGTCTTAATTTTATTTTGTCCATGTAAAGCTACTCAATTTGTACAACCAACAATCCATCTAAAAATGTTGAACAAACGTTACATTTATTAACTGTATTTACCAATTTGGTTTATCTTTCTTACAATGAGATTTGTTTATAAGTATGTGTTTGAAAAATGTGTTTCAATTTAATGGGGCAAGTAAAAATATTTTACACTGGCCATTAGGAAAAAACAAAGTCTGAAATTTCATTCATAATGGTCTTACATTTGATTTGGTGAAACCTGCAGAAACCCTGAAAAAGCCACCAATAATATCCAGAAACGCTATTCATTTCACCATTCATATCTTTCTTTGTGTTAAAGAAGAAACATTTTTTAATCAAGTAGAGGATGAGATGATGGCAGAATAAAAACCTTTGGGTAGTCTTTTTTTTAAAAACATGAATAAAATGGGAAAGTTGTATATAAAAATTTCGCATTTAAGTCATGAATGCATAACTAAAAATAAAAACTACATGGACATTTTGTTTTAAAGACAGAAAACATGAATAAAAAAAGATATGAAATCACAAAGTGCATGAACACTCTATATTGATATAATATTAATATTGATAACTTGATTGGCTAAACAGTATTTTAGACCTTTTAGAGTTTTCAAAGTATATAATTTTAGATGTTGGTCCCTCACATGAGGATGATCATTTTTGGGGTTTTGTGTTATCTGTAAGACTTATTAAGTGTCTTTAGGTTTAAATCCATCATCTAGTTGATGGATTTAATAAAAGTAGGCATCTGCAAGTTGCAATATTTTATATGTGGCGTATTTGTTTCTGAGATAAAGCATTTCAGTTTATTATTGGCATGTTCTTATTTATTTATTTATTTTGTTTTGTTTTGTTTGTTTTGTCTAGAAATATTTCTAGACAAATATTTTGTCTAGAAACACAGAGTCGAAATGTACCTTATTTCTTATGATTTCTTGTGCTTTGCATGCAGGAAACCTGATATGTTATACACCATTAAACATTATTAACAGCAGCTAATACATTATTAACAGCAGTTCAGTTCACACTTGTACACAACTGCGCAAAAAATGCATTTGTTCTTTTTTTAGTTGAGGTTGCCATTCCAGTTAATTAATAAACCTTGTGTGTACAGAACAGGATCAAAGGATCGTTCACTCAAAAATGTAAACTGTCATTTACTCACCCTACACTTCTTCCAAACCTGTTTGCCTATCTTTTTTTCTGTTTAATGGATAAGAAGAAATTTTGATGAATGTTGCAAAATGGTAGCCAATGATTTCCATAGTAAGGGGGAAAAACTACCAACATTCTTCAAATTATCATCTTTTGTAGTCAGCAGAAAAAAATATGGTCTGTAAATGTAGTCTTTGTTCATAATCCCCTCTTATTCATCATCATCATCAGGGGCTGTTTATGGACCTAAATCCACAAATACTAACGCAAAGTTTTGTGTTTTGTTTTACATTTTAATGAAACATTATTTAATTACATTTTAGCTAATGTGGATAAGCTCCTACTACCAAAACTTTGGATAAAGTCGTATTCAAATTCTTCTTATTATTTTGTTTTATACATTCATGTTTTGGGGCTGCACGGTGGTGTAGTGGGTAGCACAATTGCCTCAAAGCAAGAAGGTCACTGGTTCGAGCCCCGGCTGGGTCAGTTGGCATTTCTGTGTGGATTTGTGCATGTTCTCCCCGTGTTTGCATGGGTTTCCCCCACAGTCCAAAGACATGTGGTACAGGTGAATTGGGTAAACTAAAAATTGTCCATAGTGTGAATGAGTGTGTATGGATGTTTTCCAGTGATGGGTTATGGCTGGAGGGGCATCCGCTGCGTAAAACATATGCTGGATAAGTTGGCGGTTCATTCCGCGGTGGCGACCCCAGATTAATAAAGGGACTAAGCCGAAAAGAAAATGAATGTATTCATGTTTTTACAGAAGGGATTGTTTTCATCACTCCACATAATTCAGAAAATGCTGTCAAACAAAAATTGTAGAGAAACACGCCTAAATTATCATCTGTTGTGTTCAGCAGAAAAATTATGGTCTGTAAATGACAGCTTAAAGTGGATTTAAAGCAGTTGGTCAAGTTTACATTATTTTGTACATTGATTTCCACTTTAATGAAAATATAGTATATTAAACTTGATTCATGTAACCATTTTGAAGAAATGGCATGTTTTGCTGGAGCTTTTAGCGCTAAGGCGCCACCATCTTGGAATGTCACAGTCTCTGACGTCACAAGGCTAGTTCCTTTCTCTCAGCTAAACCGATACATTGGAAGTAAAGAACTGAACATGGAGACTGGACAGCCTAATTTAACCCAATGCGTGAAGTGGGCGTGGAGCTGGTGCAAATACAAGCATCAGATGTGTGTCTAATATGTTTAAATATTTGTACGTTTTCTATTTTACTTATTTTCATACCTTTCAATAAATGTGCTTTGGTCCATTCTCTAACGCTGGTGCATCACTACCTGACAAGGGCATTTAGATTCAGACTAATGTAAAGATTAAAATGATACATGACTGCACGCTTTACTAAGTCATGTCTTTGTGGATTATGTTAAAATATTCTCTGATCAAGTCGATCAACTCAATCTCTCAACATGTATGGAGGACTTAAAAACCTGCCATGTGAAAAACCACGCTGATCTTACTTTGGTTTGAACATGAGTTGAGCAGCTGTAGTAATGAAAAGTGAAAGTATCCATTCCCATTACATCAGTATCAGAGCTTGTCAGCTGCATAATACAGAGAGTGGACCATTAAGCACATCAAATGATCTGTAATTAAAAAAGAAAAATAGAATAAATATATATCTTATATTAGGCACAAATCTGATGCTTCTTTTTGCACCAACTCCATGCCCACAAATTGAGTTAAATTAGGCTGTCCAGTCTCCGTGTTCAGTCCATTACTTCCATTGTATCTGTTCAGCTGAGGGAACGGAGCCAACCTCATGACGTCAGACACAGTGACATTCCGAGATGTCAGCACCCTAGCTCTAAAAGCTATAATAAAATGTTGTTTTCTTCTAAATGGTTTCATTAATCGAGTTTGTTTAATATATTTTCAATAAGGTGGAAACCAGTTTGTCTGCGCAATAGCCTAGTGGTTAGTGGTCGACATATGGTGCTGTAGCACTTCAGGGAGTCCCGAGTTCAAATCCCGGCTCGAGGACATTTCCCGTCCCTAACCCCTCTCTCTCCCACTTCGCTTCCTGTCTGAAATACTGTCCTATCCACTTAATAAAGGCAAAAAGGCCAAAAATAAATCTAAAAAAAAAAAGAAACCAGTTTACAAAATAATGTAAACTTGACTGACTGCTTCACTTCCACTTTAATTTAGCTGCAGTAGCCTGCTTTATTCTTCATTATCTCTGTTTGTTTGGTCACCCAGGTTGAGGAAACGTCACGAGAGCGAGAAGAGAGACTGAAAGGCTGGTCGTCTTTTCTGGGCGATGAAAAAGGATCTGGCGAAGCTAAAGCTAACTCCACAAAAACAGACGAACAACAGAATTCCAGCACACAAGAAGCAGCAGCAGCAGAACAGACCCAGCAGGAGCCACATGTAAACGAAAGCAGCACAAAACCACAGGAGGAGAAAAATGAGGAGGAAGGAGGAGGAATGGCATCGACTGATAGCAGTTTAGCAGGAAGTGATGATGAAGATGCGTAACTTCTTTAATGTCTCACTCATACATCTCAACACCAACAGTGTTTTCATTTTAAATGCCTGTTAATGAATCGCATCATATTCCAATTTGACTGTAAATAATAATTTGTGATCTGTTTTCTCTCACTTCCCCGTGTTATGATGTGTGATCCATTTGAACTTCTGTCAATATAGTTTTATAGTAAAAATCATATTTTGTGACCTCATCATTGTTTCTTGCTTTCATGAAAAAACAAACAACATATTTCCCTCATAAAACAGAAAAGAAGCTGAGTTTCCTTATGAAGCATAGTAGACTTTAAGCCTAATGACAGCTGTGATGTTATCTGTTTGAGACGACCTTGCTCAACTCGTTAGGGTGCATTTTTGAGTGCACATGTAAGGAAGCGCACAACCTCTGTTTGTAATATCGCATTCGTTTTGTTTTAGTGTGATCGCTGGCTGGATGTGTGCTGGATTCAGTTCGGTAAGAAGCATGTTGGACGTTTAGTTTTTTTAATACTGTTAAAAGTCTTGTTTTAGAGGATAAGAGGGAACAGCTTGTTCCCATTTATTCCTGGTTTTAAAGAGTTTTTTTGGGCTACGCTTTTTTTACGGGTCCGTTTATAGCTGGAGTTTACTTCTATGCAGTAGGTGATGTCATTTGTTTTTATTTCTTCATGGATTTGAAGCACTAGACTTTTATTTTTGTTTGGTGGTTTTACACTGCAGAATTGTGTAATATTGATTTTGTTTTTAAATATTAATAAACTGCACTGTGCCGTGTCAAACTACATATATTTTAAAATGCACTAAAAATCTTTTTTTTTCTCAAAAGGAACAGTTTGTTGTTGTTGTTTTTTTTTTAAATAAATGTATATTTTGCTCTTCAAATCTACACTACCGGTCAAAAGTTTTGGATCACTTTTCTTTTTTTTTATAGTTTTAACTAATAATTTAAATAAAATTATTCTGTTCATCAAGGCAACATTTATTAAATGTAAAAAAATGTTAAATATATATTTATTTAACATTGTATGTCGTTTCAAAAGAAATTATTACTTCAGTCGTTATTGCTTTAATTGCTATTTCTGAAGGATCATGTGACTGACGCCTGGAGTAATGAAGCTGAAAACACATCTTTAAAATGAACTGGATTAAATTATTAAATAAATTATAAACTACTTTTCAATTATTGACCGGTAGTGTACACACACACACACACACACATATATATATATATATATATATATATACACATACACATAACACTTTTTGAAACATTTGAAATCTAAATGGTAACATTAAGCTAAACATTTGTTTAAAGTCACCTTTGATCAGTTTGATGAGTTAAAGAGAGAGTTCACCCAAAAATTAAAATGTACTATTTAATCTTCCTGAATAGGCATGGGCTGCTATAAGTTTTTGATAGTATGAAAACGGTATAAAATATCACAGTTTCACAGTATTGTGATTACTGCTTTCAAAAATACTGCTCTCAGCAACTGTTTTTCCTATTGAACACCAGTAGTTTTTAATGTGGAGGGTCCTTTTATGCTGGAGATAATTGCGCTAAAAAAACTAAATAAAATAATTGTTAAACATGTTTATGGTAAACCTTGAAAACGGTCCCATGCCTATTCCTGAAGTGGTTCCAAACCTTAACGACTTTGCTCTGTAAAACACAAAAGAGTATGACTTGAAGAAAGCTAAAAACCTGTAACCATTGACATAGGAAAAACTACTATGGATGTCAATGGTTACAGGTTTCTTTAAAATATATTAATAAGTGTATGATGACAGAAGTTTCATTTTTGGGTGAACTATCTCTGTAAGTCGTTGATTGTATAATTGATCTTATGACCAAAAAGCTTTGAATTGAAGTAGGCCTATATTAACGTTTAGTGGATATCAACCTATATCCTGTCACATTTGCATAACCATGTTCATCAATTACCACTTGTTTAACATATCCTATCACAGATACCATGGTTAAACTACGGTTAGTGTACAAAAACCACGCTGAATATGTGGACGTATGTCTGTTATTAGTTGCAGTATAGTCGTGGTTTATTTTCGAAAGGGTAATTAGGCTTTAACAAACGGTTTCTGTACACGCATTTACATGAAAAACACAAATGCCCCCGTTTTGTATAATAATACCTCATTTATGTTGTATCCTTGAGTCAGGATGATGGAGAACAGAGTGTTAGAGCGCTCAGGAGAGATTAAAGATCCTCCACAACTCTTCACATACTATCAGGGCGACATCAACACTGCGGTGGACGAGCATTTCTTCCGCGCGCTCAACAAAGCTACCATACCGAAAGACCTCAGCATTAAAGCCAAAGACAGCAGCAGGACTCCCAGATCAGGTACGATGACGTCTTTATATCTAAACATATACATTTATAACAAAGTCTCTTGTATTTAATGGTCTTTGTTTATAATCCCCTCCTATTCGTCGTCATCATCAAGGGCTTTTCAAGACTTAAATCCACATAGCATACTCTCTAAGTGTAATCTTTTTATTTATTTGTTTATTTTTTAGTTTCAATGAAGAATTATTTAATTAAATATGAGCTAATGTGCATAAAATTCTTATACCAAAACTAGGAAAAAGTTGTATGAATATATATATATATATATATATATATATATATATATATATATATATATATATATATATATATTCATATATTTTTATATTTAAGCTTGGTGACTTAAGAGTAAATGAATAAACTTTAATAATTACGGTAGTATATTTTGTCTTTTTTTACTACACCAAACTTTATTACTATAATTGTTGTATTACCACAGCAACTATCAACTTATTACTACAGCAGATTAATACAAGTTCTTTATTAAGGCATGGTAAAAATATAAAATGAATGAATAAATAAAACTGAACTATCTACTATAAATTATGATAATATAAATTAATGTGATAAATGGACATTTATGACCCAGTAGGCCTGCACACTGAAAAAGAAAACAGTATTAATTGGATTTACTACAGGTTTTTAAGGTAAGTGGTTGCAAACATTTTATATGGGCTTGTTAAATTTATCATTAAATTTATTGTTCAACTTTATTTGTTTGTTTAAATTCAGCCCACGTGAATTGTTTACAGCCACTTACCTTAAAAAAATATTAAATCCAATAAAAAATGTTAGTGCCAGAAAAAAAAAATCTTATTTTGAGAAAATTGAACATAAAAAGATATAACATATATACACACAGTATATATGAACACATAAAAAAAAAAAAAAAAAATATATATATATATATATATATATATATATATATATATATATATATATATATATATATATATATATATATATATATATATTGTGTGATACAAACAAACATTGAAGAAGTTAAACTACAGTGTAAAAATATCTGTAAAATGACAGTTTTCCATATTTTTTTATTCATTGTGAGATTTTTTTTTAAAAACTTTTTTAGGCATTATGATTGCATTATGGGACCTTGATCTTTCTTCAAACAACATTTAGCCTTGAGAAGTTAAAAAAGCTTTTTTTTTTTTTTTTTTTGTATATTTTTAATAGTTTGAAGTGAAATATTGTCTGGATTGGTGTTTTATGCTGCAAAAAAACTGGTAATAAGCTGCCAGCAGTGGTGGAAAGCATACTGGAAATCATACTCAAGTAAAAGTACTAATACTTGTCCAAAAATATAGTGCAAATAGAGTAAAAGTATCTGTTGTATTACTTAAAGTTTGAGTAATAAGTAGCCATTTAAAAGTCCTCAAGAGTAGTGAGTATTTCGATGTGTACGGCTCATGCATTTACATGTAAATTGTGCATGTGTGTGTGTAAACCTAACATTCTGTAGTGCTTTTAGTTATTGTTTAAGGCCATTTAGGTCATCATACAGTAAACATCCATCATTGTCTCATCAGTGACATACAGTGTAAATAATCTCTAAATCACTGCGTGTAAAGTTTCTTCTTAAACACTTTTAATGTTTACAAACAGTTTGCTGCATGTCTTAAAGTAGTTCATTATAATGCGATTTACTTTTTTTATGTGCGATTTGATTGGACATGAATCACTGGACTGATTTATCTAATCTCTATACTCAGTAAATAATAAAGTAGTGATGGCAGGTTGAAGGAAAGTATAAAAATACCAATACTAAAACTGCACTCAAGGGAACGTAAAAGGACACATTTTTAACACTACTTAATAAATTACTATTTACTATTTATATAGTACTTAATAAAGTACTTCACGCCAGTACATTTTCTGTTATTTTACAAACGTGGTTCTCTATATATTATTTCTTAAACAACATCTTGTCTCAAACCACTAAAAGGTCAATGAAAGTCATTTTGTTAAACTGTAGAGTTGAATTTTCAACATTAAAATTCAATAGAACAGAGATCAGGCTCCCATGATGCAATTACAACTGTAAATAAATGGAAAACACAAAATACAGAAACTGTTAATTGGTTTGGTTTGGTTTATTTATAAAGCACAATAAAACAACAGTTTGTCACCTTAGAATTATAAGGTTCTATCTGACATTTTTATCAAAATCAAGTTATTGATATATTCTTATTAAATGACAACTTATTTACATGATGGGATGTTTTTTTTATAAGTTGTTTACATTTTAAGACTTTTTATTTAAAAAAAAAAACAAATGTTACACACATAATGTTTGCTAAATGAATTGCAAAACCTTTGAAGCTCAGTATCTCAAAATCATTCAGAACGCAGATGAAACTTTATAATTCCAAAGTGACGAGTTGTTGAACATTGTGCTGTACAAACCTAAAAGTAAAAAAACATAGAATACATTTAACATACCACACAGCTTCAACGATAAATTACAAGACACCAGATACATACAATTGGATCAATTTTCTCCCAATTTAAAAAGCTCTTTCTAGGAGGTGTAGTTTAAGTTTCCCTTTGAACAAAGAATCATTCAAAATTTTTCTAATGGGCATACAGTAGGTAGCCCGTTCCACATTTTAACAGTGGTGTAAAGTAACAAATTACAAATACTCAAATTACTGTAATCGAGTAGTTTTTCTTATAAATTGTAAATTATTAAGTAGTTTTAAAAATGTGTACTTTTATTTTGCCTTGAGTACATTTTTAGTGCTGTATCGGTACTTTTACTCCACTACTTTTCTTCAACCTGCAGTCACCACGTTATTTTTTATTTTGTGTGGGGATTAGAAAAATCAGTCCTGTGATTTCCTGTCCGATCAAAAAAAAATAAAGAGGTAAATGGCATCATAATGAACTACCCCAAGACATGGGCGCTTTATAATTGCAGCAAACTGTTTAGAAGCATTAAAAGTATCCAAGAAGATCTCCAGAACCTTTACACGCATTGACCCAGAGACTGTTTAGATGCATGTCACTGATGAAAAGATGACGGATGTTTACTGTATGATGATCGAAATGGTCTTAAACACCCAGCAGACACAAGACGTTAACATGATGTCAGATTGACATTGCACTTCAATGTCGTGGGAACGTTAAATTTTGTTTAGAAATAAAAATCGGTTATATGTCAGAACTCAACGCCAATGTCCAACGACCAACCTAAAATCAACCAAATATCAACGTCTAATGATGTTACAGCTTGACGCTGTGTGGATGTTACCATTATGACGTCTATCAGATGTTGGATTTTGGTTGCCATACTTAACAAATAAATCTCAGTATGTGAAGTCAATGATGTTGGTTTAAGATGGTGGCTCGACGTTGGATTTTGGTCAGTTTTTAACACAAATTAAAATGAACCAAATATCAATGTCATGTGACGTTGTTGGATGTCAAAATAACATTGTTCTTAGACGCTGGCTAGACATTGAATTTTGGTCATCTGACCTAAATCTAACCTAATATTAACATCTTATGACATTGTGTGCCTGCTAGGCAATAACTAAATGCACTACAGAATGTTACGTTTACACACATCAACAAATTACATGTAAATCATCAGCTTTTACAGCATAATACTCACTACTCTTGAGTATTTTTGAAAGGGCTACTTTTTATTTATACTTTGAGTAATATTTAAAGCAGATACTTTTACTCTACTCATACTAAATTTTTAGGCAAGTAATGGTACTTTTACTTGAGTATGATTTTTCAGTACTCTTCCCACCACTGTATTTTAACAGATATGTTTTACAGCACAGGTGTCAAACTCCGTTCCAAAAGGGCCGCAGCTCTGCACAGTTTAGTTCCAACCCTAATTAAACACACCTGATCAAACTAATTGAGTCCTTCAGGCTTGTTTGAAACCTACAGATAAATGTGTTGGAGCAGGGTTGGATCTAAACTGTGCAAGGCTTCGGCCCTCCAGGGATTGAGTTTGACACCCCTGTTTTACAGTGTAACAACACTTCAAATTGCATTTTGGATGTTTGATTGCTATTAGACTGAAAAAATGCTGAACATGTGCTTTTATATTTATAATCCCAGATATCCCCTCATCATCTTCATCATCACCATGGGCAATGTCATGGTCTAAACCCAGCACACACTCTTCCTCAAAACTGACCCCCCTCACCTCCATGGAAACTCCATCTCCATCTCAGGGAGTTATCGTGAACCCCTCGGGACTTTCATCATCGTCGTCCTCTTCATCATCTTCATCTTCATCACTGTGGCCCTGCGCACCCAGACAGAGCTCATCAGCTTTTGAACTGCCTCAGATCCTCTACCAGCAGCCGGCGAGCGGCGAGAGCAGCGCCAGCTCTTACCTCAATCTCCTGCAGATGGAGCGGCCCGCGGGGGGCATCATGATCTCGCCCTTCTCCAAATCAGACACCAGACCTGAATGGAACTCCGGGGCGGCATTTAAAGATGTGTCTGGAAGCAGAATCAGCCTCGATTCAGGTATTGCAGCTTATGGGGTTGATGTTCGTTTGTTTTGCCACAATCAACTGGTTTTCACTAAAGGCTAATGGGGTAAAAATAACCTAATATATTGCCACTGTTATATACACTGTTTTTTGCCCAGTTGAGTGATTACATTAATAATTGCAAAAATGTTTTAACACACAAAATATTGTTTTAATATTCAAATAAGGTTTTAATTCAATATATGCTAATTTGCATAAGCATCTAATACAAAATTTAACATTGGAAGTCAGGTTCAAAATTGTATTTGTTTTACATTAAGGTCAAAGGTTAAATATCTCTTCTAATAACCTGTTTTAGCAAGAAATATAAATATATTTTCACATTTTTTTGTGCCATTAGACTTTGTGTAATCAAGAAAATTGTGTAAGAATACAGATATGTTGAAATAAATAAGAAATCTGCAGACAAAAATTAATAATGAGCGATAAAAGAAACACAAGTGCATTATGAATTATTATATTATTATTATTATTATTATTATTATTATTATCTTCTGTACACTTTATATCTGTTTTCAAACAAAAAAGGAAAACTAAGAAAACAGACTTGCTCACAAAAAAAAAGACAATTAGGTTCAATTTAAGTTTTTTTATTTAGGGTAGGAAAATGGATAATCAATGATTAAAGTAGGAGGAAATAAAATAAAAATAAATGGTATCTTTTGTTGTAGGCCCAGGGCACGATGTGTTCTTATTCTGGTCCTGCTAAGAACTATTTAAAAAAAAACTCAATAATAATAAAAAAAAAACACTAAGTAAACAGTATTAATTATCATTATTATTAGCCTATAATTATTATTATTGTTCTTATTATTATTCATTTATTTTCTTTTGGCCAGCAGAGAAATTAAAATGGTGTCAAAAAAAGTGCCCAACTGAGTCTGGTTTTTCTCAAGGTTTTTTTTCGTCACTCGCCTATCGGTGAACTTTTTTTTCCCCTCTCCGCTGTCGCCTTTAGCTTGCATGGTTTGGGATCTGTAGAGCTACCCATCGATGAATTTGCTCTTTAGTGTTTGGACTCTCAGTAATGATTTTAAAGCACACTGAACTGAGCTAAACTGAACTGAACTTAAACACTAAAAACTAAAACTACACTGTTCTAGTTTACTATGACCATTTATGTGAAGCTGCTTTGACACAATCTACATTGTAAAAGCGCTATACAAATAAAGCGGAATTGAATTGAACTTTTAGGCTTAGTCCTTTTATATTATTATTATTGTTGTTGTTGTTGTTGTTGTTGTTGTTGTTGTTGCTGTTGTTGTTATATAGACCTAGCTCTGAAGCGATTATGCAAACCATGTTCTGCTCTAAAATGATTAGCTTTGCTTGGCATCAGGTGGACAGCAGCAAGGTGTTTGGCATCAAACTATGACCTTATTTCAAAGACAAATGTGAAATAATACAGTTAATTAACGTTTTTATTTATTGTATGCATACGCAATGAGTGCAAGCCTGCTTACTGATCAAATGATAGAATATGTAAACTTAGTTTAAATATATATAATTCAATAATAATAATTTAAAGCCTCTGTGCTGATTTGCAGAGGACTATTTTTTTGAAGGCGACGTCGCAAGCTCAGGTTTGGTTGACCAATCAGAGGAAAAGGGATGTTTGAGCACCGTCTACATGTGGATATTAAATTTTAAAGTCGTTTATTCCCTTTTACTACCCGAAATCAAAAAATGAAAATCAAGACAAAATCTCTTCTTTTTTTTTTTTGTGAGCCAAATGTCCCCGAAAAATGTCAGTTTCCTTAGTTTTCCTTATTTGGTTTGAAAACGGACATGGAACGCACAGAAGATACCCTGGTTATAAAGGATGACTTATTTCTCTTAGACTGAAAAAAACCTTGAAGAAACTTTTAAAAATCCATCAAGCGCAAAATTTCATCACCAAAGAAACACAAAAAAGCAAATAGAGACTGCAGCTGTATACAGTAATATTCATTTCGAAGTCCTCTAAAGATATTTAGATTTAGTTTGAGACTTTTGTTGTAAAATGGAAGACATGTTTTGGGCTATTCCTAAATGTCTATTAGACATCTTATTACACAGACAGCTCAAATTTAGCCTTGTTTAATGAAGCCGTCTATGTTTAGACGTCTATTAGACATTAATTAGACTTCTTTTAAAAACAAAAAATGCTTGCTGGGGAGTTTGTTAATCAATTTTATGTACTTTTACTGAATGCATCTGTTTACATTAATTCAATATCTTCAATTCCCACGATGCTTTACAGAAAATTTCACTAATTCACTAATGCAAAGTGCAACAAAAATCTCTTTACTTTAACCCACTGCCGCTTAACACTTCAAATATACATTTAGCAATTAACTTAAAATAAATTGCTTCTGCAGATACAGCCAACAACTATAAATAAATAGTTTTTTATTTCTTAGATGTTTTTATTTATATTTTCCTTCAAATAGCTGAGTTGTAGTTATTTAACACAGTGTTTCTCAACCACATTCCTGGAGGACCACCAACACTGCATGTTTCGTATCAGGTCTTTCAGTCAAGTGTGTTTGGTTAAGGAGAAACGGAAAATGTGCAGAGCTGGTGGTCCTTCAGGAACATGGTTGAGAAACACTGATTTAACACACACTGATTTCCATCTACTAAGTTGTTTCAAATCAAAGTTTCTACTGTTGTGATTCTTCTTATAGCTGATTGGTTTGGTTTAAGACCTATAATTATAGGAAGACGATTTCCTCCACGTGAGGAAAAAATATGACTTAGCAAGTCCAAATTATGAGATAAATGACAAAGGTTAAATTTCTCTTCTAATAACTCATTTTAGGCAAAAAAAAAAAAAAAATATATATATATATATATATATATATATATATATATATATATATATATATATATATATATATATATTCACTTTTTTGTGCAATTAGATGCTGTGTAATCAAGCAAATTGTGTAGGAATATAGACATGTTGAAATAAATAAGAAAGTTTTACATTTCTTAGATGTTTTTATTTTTATTCAAATTGCTGCATTGTGGTTCTTTCCCTCATTAAAGTACACTGACTTCCATCTATCTCGAATCAAATTTTGTACTCTTTTTAAGTAATAATTTTGTAAGTTACAAAATTTTTAATTTAAAATGAAGACTTACCAAGTCAAAATATGACATAAATCTAAATTATGAGTTCAAAAGACATGACATGTTTTTATGTACTGGGGATTTTTTATCCTTCGGGGGCTTTATATTATAATAAACCTCATTAAAGTGACTTTTAAGTGATAAAAAAGTGAAATAGTAAAGTGAAATAAATTCATACCTTGTATATATAAATGAGGTCTTTTTAAAAATCCCTATAGAGAAAATGAATGGGAAAAATACTTCAAATACTATGTGATGTTTGACCATAAGATTGAAGTGTTCTATACACTGTTAACAATTTCCTGTAGAATAACTAACTGTAAATCAAATACAGCACCAATACTGTATTTGCATTTACAGCACCATATATCTCGCTGCGTATGTATTTACAGTATAGTATATTGTTATTGTAAAATATACAGTAATTTTCAAAATGCATCTTTAACATACTAAATAACTGTCCTACAGTAAAATATTGTTCATTTTACTCTTAAATACTGTGTAATTTACACAAATCGTTAACAGAGTAGCACATTAAATAAATCTCATTAGGCTGCATTATATTAGCTCTATTATAGGTGTGTTATATTTATATTCAATGTTTATAGATTATTTACTTGCAATTGTCTTGTGTTTTCCAGGTTTGCCTGTCTCAGAAATCAATAAGGATTTGTACTGGTATTGAAGAAGTGATCTCTGGCTCTGATGATACATAATAATACATATTCAGCAGCACAAGACTGGCCTGTTTACATGATTATGTAAGAAGTCTGTGTTTTTGGCCATCTGTGACTCAAACATTTTATTCACAGTGTCAGACATTCCTCTGAAATGAGCACCATTTAATCGCTTCTTTCAGCTGTGAATGTGTGAATAAGCTTGTATTGATAATACATAAACAAGAAAACCTGATTGGAAATGACGCACTTCTCTTAGATATCTAATCGCTGAGTTAGGAAGTAAATTCTATTTATATGATTTGCAGTACGATATTGTTTATCAGACTTTCTTTTGTAAGTATTCTGTGTTTGGAAAGTTGTATTCTACTATTCGTAATGCAAAAGCTATATTGAATATAGGAACTGAAGGGAAACTTTCTCCTCGAACACTTCCTCATTCATTACCTTGAGGCATAAAATAACTTTGAAACCCCATTTTCAAGTATGTTGACTCTTGAAATGAGACGGAGTGGTAGAAGTCAACTGACAAAAACAAAGCAAAAATAAAATTCTCTGAAACTGTACAAGTGGTACTGAAGTTCCTCGTCTCTACAAACCTATTTTCCTCATAGCAGTGATGTATTTCTCTGTCACAATCCCTCGCTTTTGATAGATGATTATGACAAAACAGCTCTGAACAATTGTGATGAATATACACAATTATTTTCAGCAATTGTATAGAGTCTGCTTTCAGTTTCGGACAGGTGACTGTTTTATCAACAAATCCTGACTGACTTCCATCTACTAATTTATTTCAAATCAAATTTTGTGCTCTTTTTAAGTAATAATTTTGTAAATTACAAAATACAAAATTCAAAATGAAGACTTACCAAGTCAAAATATGACATAAATCTAAATTATGAGTTAAAAAGACATGACATGTTTTATGTACAGGGGAGTTTTTATCCTCTTGGGGCTTTATATTATATTAAACCTCATTAAAGTGACTTTTAAGTGATGACAAAGTTAAATAAATCCACATTGCACCATGTTACACACACAGATCCATTTTGTAATTTAATTTTCAGCAATTATTTATTAATTTTTTTTCTATATATTGCTATTTTAGTCAATCTAAATTACCAGACAAATGTTTGGAGACATTAAGATTGATTATAGATTTTAAGAGCAGTTTTACGATGCTGCATTTATTTGTTTAAAAGGGACCTATTATGCAAAAATCACTTTTAACAGGGTTTAAACACAGTTGTGTTGGCGCAGTGTGAATATATTCAGCCTCTAATGGTAAAAATGTATTACTTCTATTTACACATTATTATTTTTTAAATCACACTTCATAAAAACAGAAAGACTCATAAAGACTTTGATTGACATTCTCCCTTTGTCATAGGGAAAGCTCCGCCCATTTGTGAGAATCTCTCCCTCATTACCATAGACAGCCCTGAGTGAGAAGCAGCCATCCGCCATTATAGGTTTTAGTCTGCCGATATGGTGACACACAGGTGTTTATAGCTCTCTCTTTTGAAAAAAAGCACAACGTCATTTGAATTTAAAGCGACAAATCCTGAATTAAAAAACTTGACGAAATTGGGATCACAACCTGAAAGAGGTGGTTTCAAAGAGGTATAAAAATTTATTTGTGGGGTATTTCAAGCTGAAACCTCACATACACACTCTAGACATTCATTTATTTTCTTTTCGACTTAGTCCCTTTATTACTTATGCTTTACGCAGCTGATGCCCTTCCAGTTGCAACCCATCTCAGGGAAACATTCACTCTCACTCATTCACACTCATATACCACAGACAATTTAGCTTACCCAATTCACCTGTACCGCATGTGTTTGGACTGTGGGGGAAACCGGAGCACCCGGAGGAAACCCACGCGAATGCAGGAAGAACATGCAAACTCCACACAGAAACGCCAACTGATCCAGCCGAGGCTCGAACCTTCTTGCTGTGAGGCGACAGCACTACCTACTGCCCCACCGTGTCGCCCACTTTAGAGATTTCAGAGAATTAATTTACATCTTGTAAAAAAGGAGCATAATAGTCCCTTATTAAACAAATTGTGAAAAATTATTTCAGTTTAATATAACATAATGTTATATGTCCGAATTTATGATTGTAATTTAAAGCATCAGTGTTTTACAATCCTTTAGAAATTATTATATGTTGATTTGCTGCTCATCAAATAATTCTGAATATCGAATAAACTAGTTATTTTTCTTAATGTTGCATTTTAAAAAATATATATGTTTTGTTAAAAAATATTTTAATCAAGGACACATTCAATTGATAAAGAGTAAAGACATTTATAATGTTACACAATATTTATGTTCATAAAATACTCATAAATGCATGAGTTTTCCCCAAATTACAAATCAGAAAATATAATAATGATAATAATAATTGATTATATCTCTGAAGGATCAAGTGACACTAAAAATCAGATAAATGATACTAAAAACTCTGCCTGAAACTTAAATCGCAGGAATAAAATACAATAAATAATGCATTACATAGAAAACATTTATTTTAAAATCTAATACTATTTCACAATATTGCAGGTTATATTTAAATCAAATATATGCAGCCAAGTAGAGAAAAACATTCAAATGTAATTAAAATTCCAATATCATCAAAATATTAGGCATAACCTGTCTTTTCATATTGGGATTATCTTTTTTTTATTATATATACATATAATTACTTTAGAATATACATATTATCTAATATATAATACATTCATTATATAGCTCAGGATATAGGAGTCCACCCCTCACAAATCTCTCATTTAAATAAATATTTTCTGTAGGATGCTTTACAATACAAAGCCAAATCTGGAGCTAATCTAACAAAATAACTTACAAAAATGATCCATAAATTAGTAGCGCAAATTTATATATTAGAGAAAAATATAAAATAAAAATCTTGAAAAGAGTAAAAATCAAGAGAAGCAAAAAAAAATCCATGAAAATTTTGTAGTTTGTATCTTTTTGCAATATTTTGCATGAATTTAAATCTTTCTATTTCTAAAGATGTTCAGTGAATAAAATAATATTTTAACAAGTATATCTGTTAAATAAATCTGTTCAAATGTTCAAAATATAATAAACCATCTTCACAAAGAAATGGATAAAAATATTCATTTTTAAAAGGGGTGTCATCATTTATGCTGAGCACTGCGTGTTTTCATTTTACCCCCTTGTTACAGCAAAAATAAATAAATAAATAAAAAATGGAAAAAAAGTCATCTCCCATTCAAAGCCTGAATTTCTTTTTATGTATAAATGTCTTCAAGGATAAAGACTCTGTAATGTCCCCACTCATCTTTGCCAGCTAACGTGCCGCTGTTCAGAAGTGGATGACAAATATCTTAACTCTCCTCCATTCATAAACCCGTGCGCAGGTGTCCTCCTACATGCAGGACCAACAGGCTGCTCTGTGGCTTATGAACATGGACATGAGGATGATTTTCACGCTTATGTATATACTCCCACATATCAGCAAAACAGCTATTAATGCTAATGACACCTTGGAAGAGTCTTCAGGAGATGAGTGTCATGTTCATTTGCATGCTTATAAGCCTTATAGGAGAATAACATTAAAAAGTATTAATTTATCTTTGGTCAGTGCAATAATATACTGGTGAACATATTAGATACGACCAGGCAGTTTGAGGAAAGTATTTTTTGTTAATAACTATAAACGAAAATAAATGTATTTGAAACCTGTATTTGATGTATTTACATATCATTTAATATGAATCTAACAACTAGAATAATTAGTGTTTTTCAAGTCAAAAACTTTTGCTATTTTATTTAAGTTGTTGCTTTTTATTAAAAACGCTTTTAATTATTACATTGAATAGGCTGTAAGAGTATATACTCTATAGACAATGAGGCTGTAAGAGTATCTACTCTAGACAAATAGGCTGTAAGAGTATATACTCTATAGTCAAATAGGCTGTAAGAGTATATACTCTATAGTCAAATAGGCTGTAAGAGTATATACTCTATAGTCAAATAGGCTGTAAGAGTATATACTCTATAGACAAATAGGCTGTAAGAGTATACTCTAAACAAATAGGCTGTAGGAGTATATACTCTAGACAAATAGGCTGTAATAGTATATACTCTATAGACAAATAGGCTGTAAGAGTATATACTCTATAGACAAATAGGCTGTCGGAGTATATACTCTAGACAAATAGGCTGTCGGAGTATATACTCTATAGACAAATAGGCTGTAGGAGTATATACTCTATAGACAAATAGGCTGTAAGAGTATATACTCTAGACAAATAGGCTGTAGGAGTATATACTCTATAGACAAATAGGCTGTAAGAGTATATACTCTATAGACAAATAGGCTGTAAGAGTATATACTCTATAGACAAATAGGCTGTCGGAGTATATACTCTATAGACAAATAGGCTGTCGGAGTATATACTCTATAGACAAATAGGCTGTAGGAGTATATACTCTATAGACAAATAGGCTGTCGGAGTATATACTCTATAGACAAATAGGCTGTCGGAGTATATACTCTATAGACAAATAGGCTGTAGGAGTATATACTCTATAGACAAATAGGCTGTAAGAGTATATACTCTAGACAAATAGGCTGTAGGAGTATATACTCTATAGACAAATAGGCTGTAAGAGTATATACTCTATAGACAAATAGGCTGTAAGAGTATATACTCTATAGACAAATAGGCTGTCGGAGTATATACTCTATAGACAAATAGGCTGTCGGAGTATATACTCTATAGACAAATAGGCTGTAGGAGTATATACTCTATAGACAAATAGGCTATAAGAGGTTGTTTAATGGAAGCTTTATATACAGCAGTGTATACTACGGCAGATTGTCACAATGTAAATATAAAAAAGCATAAAAATGCTGCATTCCTCGGCAGGAAGTTTTTATTTTATTTATTTGATGGTGCAAATGAGGTTTGCACAAAAAAAGTGTTCCTTTTTTGTGGTCTACTTTCGCAAAATAAAATATATATATTCCAATTAAAGAAGGCATCAAGGCACGTCCAAATCTGTCCAATTCTACTTAATTTTCTTTCTTCGGATGTTCCTTCTGATCAGATTTTGCAGTATGTTTCCTTTACTCCCTTTGATATCCCACAATGCCTTCAATTTATGACACTTGAGTTAAAGAATGTAAGAAATATCTTCTTATGTGGTCAATGGAGAAAAAAAGAAACTCATAAAGTGTTGAAACCATATGAGAGTAAATGGTGTACATTTTCATTTTTGAGTGAACTATCCCTTCAACGTAAGTGAATGGGAGAAAATTACTAATAGTTATTCATAATTAGTGGTTAATAATTAGTTAATGATATGATTGATTAGATATAGAATGTTTTTTATAAAATGTCATGTTTTAATATGCATTTACATTTACCCATTTAGCAGACGCTTTTAATCAAAGCAACTTACAAGTGCGGATAAAAGAAGCATTTGTGTTGGAGAGCTGATATAGATTGTCTGGTGCATACAGTGAAGAGAGTGTGTGCCCTTAAGTTAGTTTGTCGAGCCCA